GACACCCGAAATGTGCAATCGATGCGTCCCAATCGAAACCACTATGAATGCAAAAACAAAATAGAAATTATCAAATGTTTTATTAACAGTACAATAATATATATTAGAGATTGTACGATTTAATCTGTTTTTAATACATTTTTATGGCAATTGTATATGACAGCTTTATGTGCATTCCAATCGAAATCTATTTCATTATACAACGGTCTTTATATGCACACAGTGCACACTAGTGCATCCCATTATATACTATCTCAATGCAGAGATACAATCAACTTTGACAATGAAATGATACACGTATATTTTTGTTAAATAACGTGATAATTAGTAGATAGTTAATCGTTTATATATTTATATACTTAAATATTTATATACTTTTACATTTAATTTTGCTAATTTCATGCAAAATAGCTTTTAGTATGCACTGACCTAATGTAGTGCAAGTGATCGAATTTGCTATTACAGTTAATAACTTCGCAAATCAGCTATTGTTTTCATCAGATCAACGTTTTTGATTGGCTGTCTCGAGCATTGCGAGTTTTGCGGGTTTTGCGTGTGTTGCGATTTATCTTATGGTATCAGTTACACGACAATTTTCATAATGTTACATCCGCACAGAATTTTTTCCTTTACTTCACTGATTGTATCACCAGTGCCTCGTAATACCGCTCACGCATGAGAACCGATCCGCAGCAGCGTAGCGTCACTACATGAGAATGCTGCCATAAGAATCATGAAGAGTGTCTCCTCGATTGCGCAATCGATGCATGGGAATAGGGGGAGGAATCCTTCTGCGGAAGGAAACTTCCCTCACTCTCTCTGCATCCGGATCTCTAATCGAGTGGTTAAAGTGCCGTGACTCCCGCTGCTAGCCGTTGTGTAAGCTACGTGTTCCTTCTCCAATTTCAAGTCTCGAACCCCAACAATCTACATTTCCATTCGTGCTTACTAAATCCACACTTCCATATCCTTGAATTCTCGGGGCAATTCGTAATATCTCCTTAATTCTATTCTTAAGTTACTTTAACGCATAATTCTAGAATACGTAATAAACGCGTATGCTTTTGAGCTCGCTACAAGTGGATTTAATTAAACACGACTAATTAACACTCCTTCCATCTCGCATTTATCCTTATTAATTCAAGATCGCGCGCCAGGTAATATTTTAATAATCAACCACGTGTCTTACCAGCTACCCGATGTTAAACACAGTTATTTTCGTAATTAATCGTCTCATAGTGATACTTAGTAACAGCTAATAAGCTTTATTTTATAATTATGTGGGCAAGAATTGTAAGGAGCTGATCCTCATTATTAATAAATTTACACACGAATTATAAATCCCAATACAAATTATTTATGTCCTTCTCCTCACCGCATTCTCTTGACTAATTGTGCACGATAAAATCGCGAGTGAAGCAAAAACTAGTTTTATTTTTTATAGATTGGTAATATTTATAAGTAGTAATTTGTTAGTTTGCGTCCGATCATGATCTATCGAGTATAAAAGTACTATAATACATGATAGTTCGTGAACGGCTATCATCGCGGAGGTTTCGTGTTTTGATAGTTATGTGTATCAAGAGATTAATAACGTCTTCGAAATTACTCAGATAAGTTTCATTAAGTATTTTCATTACAAAACCTTTATTCTTACTATTTCATAAACAATCGATACTTTGTATTATATTTTATTTTCAGTTATTGGTTTTCGATTTAACACCATCAACGGTTAAATATTGTACATAGAAAAGAAGGGATTGAAAAAAAGGGAAAAAGAAAGAGAAAGAGAAGAAAAAGAAGAAAGGAAAAAGAAAAGAGATGTGGAAAGAAGCATAATTTAAATCTGAATCAGTTTCTATTCTGATAGAAACTGTATCCTTCATATTTTAGTTTTGGCTGCTGAATTCTTAATGTATTATTATATTTTCTTTTTTCTGCCATACAAAAATAGCAATGCACATTCTAATATTATAATGAATAAACAATATGGAGGTTGAAAAATTTGACAGTACGAACTGATGGACAATTCTTCTAGCATGTTTAATTGTCAATTTTTTATAATCTCTTGTTTACAATATTATGCTGAGTTGTGCTGTGCATTGCTATATTTTCGATATGGCAGAAAAAGAAAATGTAATATATCAAGAATTCAGCAGCCAAAACTAGAATACGAAGGATACAGTTTCTATTAGATTAGTTTTTACGGAGATACGATGTAAGAATTTATAAAAATATTTTCATTCACATTATCAGTATAAGAACAGATCTGGGTTGTATTTAATGCATTTAATAATGAAGAATTTTCTTACAATATGAATAATAATTTCCGTTTGAACAAAGATGTACAATGTAGAGCACGCTTAATAATTAAAAATGGAATATCCATTCTAAAAGGGAAACATGAATGAAAAATCACTTTTTCAATTGAACTTAAAAAAGAAATCCAAAGATCACAAAAATATGAAACGACAAGAATGATATAAAAAAGAATAATTTCAAAGTAAATGCCATTATGAAAACTATCAATTACTGTTCATAATTTGTAATTTATACATTTACTATAGATGCGATCATTTGCTGGATTTAATAACTATTGGTAATATTGGTAATATTGAAAAATCCATGAAAAACAAAATCTGGGACAAAGTTCAAAAGACCTTAATGGCTTACATAATTTATTAAAGAAAGAGAACTGGAATCAATTATTGAGGATAGAAACAGCAGAATCTTTTATTGTTAATTTTGTTGTTAAAAACAACGACACAAAAGCTGTTCTCTTCGATAAAACTCTAGCAGAATCAATTATTGACACAATTCATAAAAAATTAACAATTTTTGTAGACGGAATATTTGCAACAGTACTTCAGTTAGAAAATGATAATTGCTAATTATGGACAATTTTAATTAGACATAATGACAGAATAATAAATTAATTCATTATTTCATTTAATTGCAAAAGGCATTCTATTTTCTATGTGAGTAAATTAATTGCTTTCAAATTTCAGGCATTTCCTATTGTTTACACAATTATGAAAGGATAAAAAATTGTATAGATATCTTAAAAAAGTACTGAATATTATCAAAATAAAACCTGACATTGTAATATCCGACTTTGAAAAAGCCGAAAGAAAAGCTTTGAAAATAGTTTTCCCTTAGGCTAAAATCATTTATTTTCCATTACAGCTAGGTAATAAAAAAAATACATATAGGGGATCCTCAATATCCATTGAGGAAAATATTCCATTATGGAATAGATATGTGGCTATGGAATCTCATGATATCTTACACTATATTTGCCCCATCTATAATGCTCCATTTGCCCCATTTTCCAAGGATGTAAGAGATGAAATATGAATTTAGTACATAATGTGCGAGATGTGGGCCATTCCAATAAAAATTAATATATTTGTGACTTGCAAATAAAAATTTTTTTTGTAATATTTTTGATGGATTCCATAACCAAGGATCTATTTCATAATTGGAATTTTATTACCTCTTCAATTTTTTGTAAATTACACTTGTGTATACCAAGGAACTTCTACCTATAGAGTATCACTCTCTAACAAACTTATACCAAAACTAGTTATGTCATATATATGTATATCTACTGTGTTATTTCAATAAAAAATGTGTATTCCATTCCTGGATACTTTCCTCTAACAAACATGAAATGCACGTTGATATTTTTCATATTGTTTTTTAATTACAGGTATTATTAGATAATGCCAATAAAACAAACATAAAATTCTTGAAGAGAGAGATAAAGAATTTGTTTGGGTTTGGCAACAAAATTACTCATAAGCTTGGTTCTTCTATCAGAAAAATGAATAGTACAAGATTTCCAAGTAATAGACAGAATAATTTTCAACGACAAGCATTTGAAATCTTTTAAGAATTATTATAAAAATATTTGGATGGTTTAAGACTGGTTCATTTGTGTATATCAGCACAGAACAATCTCAGAAAGACATAATAACAAAGAACTTAAAAAAATGTCTCAAAAAACATGCGACAACCGTTGAATTTTTAGTTATGTTGTCAACGCTCCATTATAAAAATACTTTAACTTTTTTTGAATAGTTACATATTTAAAGAGGGAGATATTATAAACTCCTTAAAATTTAATTTCATTATATTATTATATTATATTATATTACTATTATATTATTTACAATTTATTTGATTGAGCACTAAAAAGATATTCGTAGTTATATGAAACATCAAAAATTCTGGGCAAGACAGGAACAAGAAAACTTAAGATAAAAAGAAGATAAATTACAAAAAATTTAAAATAATAGAGATAAATATAGAAAATGTAGATTTGTTATTAATTCTACATGAATTATCAAAACTTAACTCGGAAAAAAGATTAATTAATAAATATTTTAATATTTGTTTATGTTAATAAATATTTTAACAGTTATCGTTTAATGTCATTTAACAGCCGTTCATGAACAGTTCACGAATTATCATGTATTATGCTATTTTTACACTCGATCGGCGCAAATTAACGGATTATTACTTATAAATGTTATCAATCTGTAGAAATATAACAACGTCAGTAACGAGTATAATAGATACGTCCAGCATCCAATAAAAATAACTGCGACAATATCAATTTTATGTTCAAATATAATTTAAGTTTATAATATATTATTTATTTATATATTAAAGAGAATATAATTCATTTTATTCTATCTTAATAACAAAATTTTTAAATAAAATGCTAATTCACTACAAATGATAAATTTAACTTGTTACAATATCAAAAATTAAAATGTCAAATAGTTTTGTCTAAAGTTTAACTATTGTTCATTGTTTATACACCAACTCCTTCTTAATCAACAAAAATGGCCGATAAGTCCGAAACAAAATTATTATTAAATAAAATCAGATTTATTATATTTAATAATCGGGTTTCTACTACCATCTTTCTTCATTTCTCTTCATTTCTTCTTCCCAGTTTTACCTTTTAATTTCTTTCCTTCTATGCTTTTCTTTATATTCTTCTTTCAATATCTCCTTTTCTTCTCTTATTTTTATCGTTTTCGCCTAATTTTCACGACAAAGCGTGAAAATAATCGCAAATTTGTTTTAACTAAAAAATAAATATTTTGTTATATACGTTTATTAAAAATCTCTGACGCATTCTTTGAAAACTAAACTAAAATAGAACCCCCGCAAGTAATTTTATTTTGTATTGTTCATTAATTTTAATGTAACCCTACTGAAAAAAATTACGTTACAGTTATATATAAATAACGAAATCACGTATCAATTAAAACATATAAATCACGTAACAGATTATTTCAAATCAATACGTAATTATTTAAAATCATGTAATTTGAGATGTCACATGATGATATATTTTTTTTTCAATTTCCCTTTAATTATTTAATTATTTAAAATTCGATAACTATAAAATCATATGATAGATAAAATTATTTCTAATATCATGTGATTTTTTAAATTATGTAAATAATTAAAAAAAATCATGTATTAATTTGGAACAATTACGATTTATATGTTTTTAATTATATGATTTCGCGTGTTTGTGGCGTGATTTTTTTTTAGTAGAATACTTATTGTGGAAGCTAAAATAGATTTATATATTATATATTATAAATAAAGTAAATTAATTTTATACACAGCTATATTGAAATCAAATATAGGCAAGTTCTTTAATTTATCAATGCACAGATGCAAGTTGCATCATGTTGCACTTGCACATTATGATTAATCGATGAATTAAAAAATTCGCCCTATATCGACTATACTAACATATCAATTTGAATACATGATTATATTAAATATACATATCTTTCTCTCTTCGTTTTTCTTTCTTAATTTCTTTTCTCTCTTTATTTCCTTCTTTTTCTTCTCTCTCTCTCTCTCTATTTTTTTTTTATTGTTTTTAATTCAAAAACTATAATTTATCAGATTTTGCGCCCATTAATACTTCTGATTTACAAAGAAATATCAACAGATTTTCATAAAATTTAGCCAAAAGCCATTTTCCATAAAGATTCTGCAAGGTTCTTTTCTGATTATAATCCAAATCAAATGTACATTTTTGAAACACAAATTTTACAGAGATTTGAACTTTAGCTACGCTTAATGAAACTCCTTCAAAATATAATATTTATTAATAATATAAACATCCAGGATTGAACAAGCTAATCTCAGTTAAAGTTATCAATTTATTCTAATTTTCATTACAACTTTCAAACGATACGTTTCGACTTCACTAAGTCTTCATCAGCAATAAATTATAAACCCCATATACATTAATAAACAATCATAAATAAATCATCCCGTCAAGCTTTATGTAAAAATTTGGATAATAACATCTCATCTTTAAATTACAAAAGTCAATATATATACTATAATTATTATAATATCAATTTAAATTCACAACGATATGTTCTAATGAATGCTCGTATAATATCACGTTATGGACTCAAATCATTTACATCTAATATCAAATTTCAATAAATCAAGACTGAAAATTCTCTTCATTTGACGTATATCGATTCATTCTCGCCATTGACCGAAGAGTTGGCTTAGAATTCAACGATTCATCATATGATTTTATGTGATAGATAAAACTGATGTAATAATGATAGTATATATTGATTTTTGTAATTTGAAGGTGGAGGAGGAAATGAAATGTTATTATCAAAATTTATACAAAGCTTGATGGGATGATTTATTTATGATTGTGAATTAATGTATATGGAGTGTTTATAATTTACGGCTGATGAAGACTTAGTGAAGTCGAAATGTACCGTTTGAAAATTGTAATGAAAATTAGAATAAATTAATAACTTTAAGATTAGCTCGTTCAATCTTTGGATGTTTATATTATTAATTATTGTTCTCACACGAGCGAAATAGTGATTAATATTAACACTAATTATTTACTAATATAATATTTATTTTCAATGAAGAACTATAATTAATAATTACATAATTATATAAACTAATCATTAAAATGTTTTTATTTATTTACAGAAATGATTCAGTATGTGAAAATGATTTTTAAAAAAATCATCATTTAACAAATTTTACATTGGAGCGATTACCGATAGAAATTTAAATTGTCTGTTTTAAACTTTCTGTTAACATTGATGTAGATAATTTGAGAATGACTTCACTATGGCTCACAAATTAAAGTAACGAGAAGAATGCGAGTACCTACAGATGACAAACCATCATATCTTTCAATTTCTTCAACAAAAAAATGTAAAATTACTCAATGGCGAGAAAATGTCTTTTCTCAAAACCATGAATGAATATCATTTCTTTAAATTGAGACTAATTAAGGGTCGATTTTTTTAATATTAAAAGATGTATCTTCCTTTAATATAATTTTTTTATGGAAAAAAAGAAGAGACATATTAGGTGTGGGAAAAAGTTCATGGCGTTTTTTAAATGTCATCTAACGGGAAAAACGCCACGAACTTTTTCCCACACCTAATATATCAGATATATGTCATATGTCTTAAAGTTTAAGATTAGATAGATTAAATTTATATTATAATTGACGTAGAATACTGATAGTAATATGAATATTAATTTTCGTGCATTAGTATATATTACGTAAATAAACTTTGACCATTTTTAAATCACCCTCACTTCTCCATGTAAGCAAATGTCAGGATTTCTAATACATTATCTACAATGGGCAGTAACAGTAATGGATTAAAAAATAGGCGTAGAACCAATCAGTTGAATGTGAAAAGAATAATCAACTATGATTGACAATATGATTTCTATTTCTTAATCAACTACTATTACTGTCTATTGTAGACCATGCATAAGACCTCCCTCCCTCTATAATTACGTGAGATTTTTTCTCATATGCTCAATGTAAAATAAAAATATATGTTGTAAACCATTGTTTATTTTTTTCTCCACTTTCATTTAAAAAGAGTGTATTGTATATATATATATATTGTATGTATAACATATAAAAAAAATCAATTTTGTTAGGATTTTCTTTGAAGAAAATCGCTAATTACGCTGTAATTACTTTTATTTCATGTGTGAAATAAATTTGTAATATTTGAATATAATGCAGTACTATAAATCTCTTAGTTTATAGTTAGCCATAAAAAATTGATCAATTACAGTAGAATATGAGAAGAATAATTAACAACATTTCATTCATTTTTTATGACTTCGCCTTTGTCGCTTTCTTTGTTATTTTTCTTCTCGTCTTTTAAGTCATTCTTCTTCGATTTATTCTTAATTTTCAATAATGCAGAGATTTTCTCTTGTAACGACTAATTTCCATACTTGAGTTTTTGACAAATTCAATTCAAGAGTATAAAAATAAGTATAAAGAGAGTATAAATAGTTTGCAAGACATTTATTTATTTATATAAAATGCAGAAATATATAAATCATTTACAAAATGTCTCAAATTATTAATTCTCTAACAATTTAATAGATTATAGATTATAGATATATTTATAAATAGAAAATATATAAAAAATATATAAACTTAATTATAAATATAAAAAGAACTTCTTCTCTCACCTGTAACTCGTTTTGTCTCTGTCTCGTCTCTTTCTTGTTTTCCATCTCTCGTCACTGCTTTCTCACCAATATCACTTTCTAGTCTCTTGTCTTTCGCATCTATCTCAATTCTTTCCTCTCTCATCTCTCGTCTGACGTCTCTTTCTTACTTTCAATTTCTTACTCACAATTTCTTAACTCGCCTGTGTAAACCCTTTTACGTCATTACTAAAAAATGAATAATTTACAATACACAACATCAAAATGTACAAAAATAAAACATAAGATGTCTCAAATTATTCATTGTTTAACACCAACTATTTAATTTCAAGATTAAATTTTGAAGTTAAAGTTTCTCCTCCATGTGTATTTTGAATTACGTTTATCTCGTTTCTCTCTCATTTCCCATCTTTCGAATCTCCTCTTTCATCTTTCAGCTCTATCCAGCTTTTTTCTTCTCTCATCTCTTGCATCTATCACGTCTCATCACTCGCCTTAAATCTCTTTCTTCCTACCAATTTCTCGCTACTCATCCTTATTTCGTCATTGCTAAAAAATAAATATATTTGACAATATATTTTATTTACAGAAATGTACAGAAATAAAACATAAAGTATTTCAAATTAATTAATTTTTAACAACAATGATATAATTTTAAGATTAAATTTTATAGTTAAATTTCTTCTCTCACCTGTATCTCGTTTTTTCTTTCTCGCTTTTTTCTCATTTTTCATCTCTCATCTCTCCTCTCTCATCAATATCTAGTTTCGTTTCTCTTTAGTCTCTTATCAGTCCTCCCTCTTTCGCCCCCATCTTTCGCCTTTGTCTAATTTCTTTCTTTTTTCATCTCTTATTTTTCGTCTTTATCTCGTTCACTCGTCTCGCATCTCTTTTATTTCTAATATTTTATCTCGTTTCTTTTATCTCTTTTTCGTTGTTACTAAAAAAATACATAGCTTATATTTCAAAATATACAGAAATAAAACAGAAAATGACTGAAATCATTAATTCTTTGAAAATAATAATTTTATTTTAAGATTCAATTTTAAAGTAAAAATGGAAAGATAAAGGCATACACACCAAATATCATTAGCGATTGATTATATTTGATTATAATTCAATATAATCTAATTCCACATAATTAAATACATAAACATTTCGGCCTTACATTAGGCCATCTTCAGTATATAATAATTACAAAATATTTACACCAATTTGGCTACGTGTATTGTCTTATGACATGTCTGTCAAATCGCTCGTTATTTAATAAGTTTTTTATTCTTAATTAGCAAGTTATTGATATTAGTTCGAAAGAATAAAAGTTATAGTATTAAAACTATATATAAAACTATATATAAAAACTATAACTATATATAAAAACTCAGTATCTGTGTTACAAGAATCAATTGTGTGGAAAGATATCGACAGTGGATGACTTGTTTTAATAAAATACTCGTCACAATGTTTTGTCAAATTCTTATCATGATAGCACAGCTGGTATAGAGAAAAATTTTTTCTACATAAATCTTTTTTATTCTCTCCTTCGATACATGTTAGGTACATATAGCTATGTATCATAAGAATTTGACAAAACATTGAGAATATTTTATTAAAACAAATCATCCACTCTCCATATCTTTCCACACAGTTGATTGTAACACAGGTACTGAATTTTTATATTTTATAATTCAAAACACGATTTGAAGACATTTAATTAATAAAAGGATATTGTAATCACTAGAATCTAGAAATTTTTTAATTCAATGTAACAATTATAAATAGGAACATTTGACTATCTGAATTTTTATAATAAAAAGAGTGCTTTTAGATATAACTTTTATCTTTTCGGACTAACATTAATAACTTGCTGATTAAGAATAAAAAATTGTTAAATAACAAGCAGTTTGATATTACAAATAGACATGTCATAAGACAATACACATAGACGAATTGATGCGTAAATATTTTGTAATTATTATATACTGAAGATAGCCTAATGTAAGGTCGAAACGTTTATATATTTAATTATGTGGAATTAGATTATATTGTAATCAAATATAATCAATCGCTAACGATATAT